TGGCTGGTGCCTTAGCCACTTGAGCCACAGGCGCCTGGATAAGATTTCTTAGCTAATTAACTGTGGAAGGCATCACTGAGCACTGTCACCACACTCATAACTTGGATGATTAACATACTCCTCAAGAAGTATAGTGATGCACAGCTTCAGTTACTTGAGTTTATAGGTTTTTATTGGTCTTTTGGGGTGGTGAATCAAATATGAATGTGTGTGAATCAAATATGAATGTTTTCATTCAGTGAAGTAAGATGATTAAAACTTTTCTTATTGGAATTATGGTTAAAAATGCATAATTTGCACATTAAGTATGGAAGTTGCTCTCTCAAATTAACTGAAGTATTCATTTTTCATTTGTATAGATCGGATGGACTTCAAATTATTAGTTTCATTGCTCACATTACCTAGATCATCTGAGCTTTTTATTCCCTAAAAGGAAGATAGATACTTTTAATGTTTTATTAACATATTCTTATTAACCAAAAATTATATGAAATTATTGCTTTAGTATTAGTAATTGAATGTGAAAAGCATAATGATTGTCAATTTTTGAGTATCATTTATGATGCTAATTAATTTGTAAATATTCTCTTTTAATTGTCCTCATGAATACAGAAGGAAGATACTCTCATCTGTGTTTTGTAGGTAAGGGTAAATGAGAATATAATAATTTGCGTGGGGATTACAGTTTATCATGCAGAGTTTAATTTAAAACCAGAACTTAATAACTCTAAGCCTAGTTTCTTTTCAACCTAAGCTTTAAAAGGACAGTTGGTATAAATATAAATATACCAACTGTCCTTTTAAAGCTTAGGTTGAAAAGAAATTTTACGTCTATGACCTTTTAGAAATAGCTTAAAAATCTGGATTTTCCCTTGAATGATTTAGTTTGCTGTGAGTTTCAGTGTATGCATCCAATAAGCATCGTATGTGATGCCAGCACCCTAAAAATGTCCTCATGGAGGAGGAGGAGGAGGACACAAGTCATAACTTCTGGGAGGAAAAGTCAAACAAGACCAGCATTTACGATGGATGGTGAGCTCAGTGTTGTATCAGGTTTTGCAGGAATCAGAGAGGTGCAAAAATAGGGGTATTTGACATAGTCTGGGAAATGGAAACGTTTCCATGTACTCAAGCAGTGAAGAAGTTCTCCTTAAAAATGAGAGCGTTAAAGCTGGACCCTTTCTCCCTACATAAGTAAACGTTTTTTATGTATGTCTGTTTCAAGTCCTTCTACATGCATTAACGTGCCTGTAAACGAACCTTCAAAAATATCTACTATTTGTGTATGTGTGTGTGCATTTTAAGTTACATCATATCATATGGAGCCAGATCTTCATGGAATTAGTCTTAACTAGTTGTTACAAGACTGTGCAAGTAAGTGAGGCCCTCCATGTGCAGACATTGATGTAGCCACTCCATTTACTTCTACTCTTACATTCTTGTGTGCACTGTTTTCTCCAGAGGGAAGTTTCACATTGATTTTCTCTCACAGTGAAGCACACGTGAAGAACTTTGATACATGCTAAGGAATTTTTCTCTTGATTGCAGAGGACTTGATGCCAGTGACAGCATCAACCTGCCTTTTAGGAAGAATTAAAGGATGTTAAAATAGTATGGTACAACATTTAGAAGTTTTATATACCTACACACACACATACACAGAAGGTTATGTATTTTTTTAAAGTAATGGAAAAAGATCTATTCATCATAAAAATGTATGTGGTATTGTATTTGAATCTCTTAATTCATCTTAATTTGTGTTGGCTTTAATCTCATGCCATGCAACAGAGCACACTTACTTCGTTTTTTGCCTCTAATTTATACAGTTTTACTAATTTACTTTGGCAGTCACTCTAGAGACAGTGAACAGCCAGTGGGTAGAGGTGGACAGTTAGTTATTACATCCATATGTTGATGA